GGTAGGTCGCCGTACTTAATCCAGAGGTCATTCATATTCTCGCCGAACTGCAACTGGTAGGACTCTTTACTGTCGGGCTTTCCAGTAGACGGTCGAATTTGTGAGTTCTTTTCCCATCCGACATTGTTTGGATTCCACGGTACAGTTGCTTTGACGTCGTCTGGTAGGTCGAAGAAACTTTTTGATATCGCAAACATGGAGTCAATGTGTTCTTTGGGGATTCCATGACCGATCAAGGTGAAAAATCCGACATGCTCAGCGGCTTGGATCAGTTGATGTGTGATTTCATCGATGCGATCTTCGAAATCGTGCATGGAGATACATGGAATGACTCGATCGACATATCGAGTTTGAGATGCCATATCTCTTAACAGTCCAGGAACTTTGTGTATGTATAAACGGTGAAGTATGACAACACTTATAGGCCACTCGTGTCACAGAAACTTGTCACATCGTACAATGTATATTGTACGTGCATCCTGGGCTGGGGGTGGCTCGGCAGGGGTGATAAGAATGGCGTCGGGGATTGCACCCGGATTGGTACGCTATTAAAAGGGAGATTCAGATAGGGAATCCTGTCATTTGGTCAGAGGTGACAGGTAGATCGTTGCCGTTTTTTTCTGTTGGAAGATCGATGCGTTTCCAAAGACCCTCCAAGAACTGCACGGATGTAGGGTATTCTGCGCTCTCTAATAGGTCATAATCACCTGGGCATGGTCGAATCAATTCTGTCCGATAAGATATTACCAGGTGCGTTCCTCTAAGGCTAACATGAATCCCGGAATTCACCGAAAGTGCTCTAGAGAAGTGAAGCGGTATAATATTCTTTCGTGTCGCAATCAGCAAAGGTACTTTGTGCACTCGGTTTTCATGCTTGGAGCTCAATGGTGTAATCTCGGACTCAACGCTGCTCAGATAGATTCATATTACTTTGGGTATCAAATTATATATAGTAAATATGTCCACATATCTATTAAATGCCATATACGTACGCAACAAAAAATGGGCCAGCGCTTGGTGCCAAAATAGATACTGCGTTTGGGCGCAAACCTTGGACCCAAAGCAGGCTGCAAGGTTGATCCAATAAGACCAATGCCTTTATTCAACTTTGCGCACCTGGCTCACCGGTGAACGATATACTCGGCGGCCATGCACAATGTACAAACCAATTGCAAAAATGACCACCGCTCCGAAAACAAGGATCGACCAATTCATATCCACCGGGGTGGGGTTGTTGGCGGTTGGGAAGAAGGTGAAAATGATGGCAAAGCAAAGCCAAGCCAGAGAGAAGACATTGATCGCCAATCCGAAGATACCGAGCGAAAAGCGCGAAGGGGGAATACCACCCGGTTGGAAACGGACCCGAATGACGGCAGCAATCGGCAAGATGTAAGTGGTGAAAAGCGCAGCGATCATCACAGATGCGACAGCATTGAAAGCCGCAGTAGATCCAATGTTGATCAAACTCAGCAGCACGGTAATAACGGTCGACACCAACACAGAGCAGATGGGAATTTGGGTGCGTCGGTTAACGTGAGCCAGATGTTTAGAGAACGGCAAGGCATCATCGCGGGCGAAAGCAAAGGTCTGGCGAGAGACTGTCGCAAGAATACCAATTGCACTGCAGACTTCCATGACAAGAATGATAGCAGCCACAGCATTGGTGGCAGCCACGGAGCCGGTGGCATGATTAACTGCTGGGAGAAAGGAGAACCCACTCGCCGGGGCAAGCACATCCTGTAAGTCTCCCATCTTATACAGCAAGGTAATTAGCATAACGAAACCGAGACCGCCGTTAATCAAAGCGGTCGAAACCATACACCAGGGGACCACCAAGGCAGCATTCTGGACCTCCTCGGCTAATAGATGTTAGCCATGATCGCGTATTAGAAGAGATATGTCCTTTGACTTACCCATATGGGTAGCAGCATCCGGGCCTGTCCAGGAGAAGATCGGAGTCAGCTGGCCCACCAGACACGCGAGGCCCATGCTCGGCCATCCGCCCGAGTTTGTGAACTCCTTCCAGACAGACTCCCCAGTGGCCTGTCCTGGAGCCATGGCCCACATCAGGACGACCACGACAACAAAGCCGAAGAGGTGAATGGCGAGGATGAGGCCCTCCATGGGAGGGAGGATCTTGTAGCCCCAGGTATTCACCACAGTTCCGACCGCGGCGATGGCGATGGTGAGTAGTGTCCCATGCCAGCGCTCGAAGCCATACACCCAACCGGAGGGATCTGAGTAGTTGAAGACCAGCAGTCCTTGAATCAGAGTACCACAGAGGTAGCAAATACTTGCAAAAGCAGCCTGCCAGCCTAGCACCGAAAGCCAACCTAGACACCGGGATTAGCGCTAGAGATCGTCGGATTGCAATTCGAGGCGGGGAGGGTTGCTAACCGGTTAGATAACTCAAGAATCGTTGACATCTCGGCCAGGCGAATTCACTGACCCAGTGGTACTGTCCACCGGATGTTGGGGAGCTAGCTAGGTCAATCTCCACGCGCGACAGGCAAGTGGGATTGAACTTACATAGAGGCGATCTCGGCCATGGAGACCACGGCGGCGAAGAATCCCACAAACGATCCAATATACACATAGACCATGCCAGCTCGTCCGCCATCAGTCAGGCCGTAGGTACTCGTGCTGCGCCATTCTCCATTATTCCCGGTGTCCTCTCGTAATATCGCGCGTCCAAACTCACAGCAGAATCGACTCCCATGTGGCCATCAACGTCGTGGTGAAACCTAAGATAGAGTAGAAACGGAAGTTTCTCTATTGTTGATCAGCATTGAGTATTGTTTCCGGGGGATGTGCAATGTACAACTCACCTTGAACTGTTGGGTCTTTCCTAGGCGCTGCATGTCCCAATCATCCTGGTCAGTCGCATCGATGGCGACATCCTGGGACACCATATTCTTGTCCAGTGCTCTCTTCATGGTGAGTGAGGGAAAAAAGAAAAAAAGGGATCAGAACATCCGACTCAAGGCCAAGGGGCCCCAAGGTCAAGGGGGGGGGGGGAAGAAAAGCCCGAAAGTGGAGCCAAAGTTTATTTGCGCTGCAGGTCGGAGTACTTGAAGAAATGCACAAAAATGGTTACATAACCATGTACACAACCATGTAGTTAAATAGTTAACCAACATATATAACGTAGAACAGCATTTCTAAAATTATAAATATGAACATCTTGGTTCTCACAGTAGAATGGAGTGAATGGACTGAAGGAGATGGAGGGAAAATTAAAAAAATTTGGACTAAAGGTGTATACTCGAACCTGATTCGACGCTCCCCATTTAACTTCACAGGTTTCTTCAGCCCGTCGAATGTCTCAAATTTATGAATTCTACGGAGACACTACAATATTCTATATATCATTGCTCCGTACATATTTGATAGAATCGCTAATAGTTTAACTAGTCGATATGCTGTTCAGGTGGAATTAGCACATAAAATAATAGCACCTATGAACTACTTTGTACATATGTTTTACCTCAAAATATATTCATATTTACCGGGTTTTCCGGGGGAGATATGTTTCAGTTAGACATGTTTGATATGCCAACATTCCTCAACTTCTTCAGGCTCCCACGCTGATAGCCTTATAAGCTTTCATATAGAGTTGGATATGATTCGAAGAGTGTACATTATAGCGAAGCGTTATTCCAGTCCATGGTTATATATTTTATGGGCGTGCTGTAGATTGTGTGGCTAAGTACTCCGTAATCACATTCCAAGGTTGCGAATACCAGAATTTATGTTGTCTTTCGTTAGAATCAGTCGGCAGCAGCGCTAAATAATAATAATATATTCTCGCGTAATATATTCTCACGGCTAATACGGTTCAAGTCCAAGCAAGTTACCGACATTACGCTCTTACCGGAAGATGCAATCAGGAGATGAGGGCCACATATCTATCTCGGAATATGATATTTTGTACTAGCTGTCAGGTCTTTACTACTGAGAAGTGATAGATATTAGTCCCACATTTACTGGGACTTAATTAAAGCCGTTCTTATTCCACCTTAGAAGCTTTGAAGATAAACCCCCCCAATATGTTATCGTGCCAAGCTTGTCCAACTTCTGCCAAAATAAATACTCGCGCGTGGAACACACGTGGACACACGTGGACCATGGAGTAAATGACGAACGCTCCACACGTCTTAGCGTCAAAACACGGAGAATTAAATGCATTGCGTGTCATTTGCTTTTTAACCTTACGTACGTTATATATTCTGCTCTCCTTTTGAATGAATATTTCACTGGTTTAATATCTCTTTATCTTGCGACTAAATCGAATCAAGACCTTTAAGAGCGACCTTCGGAGATTTCTTAAAAAAGAGGGCAAAGATCGAGAAAAAGTGAAGGTACAAACTACATGTATATTGCTGATGAATCCTTTCCCTATACATAGTATAACATTATTATATGTATTTACAAAGTAGTATATTCTAGGAAACATTGAATTGTCTTTATCTGATTCCGAGATCAAGTGGGACCACACACGCCACACCAACCCGAGTACGAAATACTTGGGATGACGACGCCTGGGGCTGGTGGCGTTGTAGTTCGCTTCCAGATCTTGAAGGTACTCCGTTACTCTGTATGTTCATACGTACAAACTACTTTGTACACTCGATGGTGGATGCGTAATTTCCAGCCACTAGATAACCACCGTCGGTTTACAGAGTACCCATCTCGGCAGATACTTTCGTCGTTGGTTGGCGCAGACGCGCAGTTGAAGGGATTTTGACCCACGGGGAGCTTGCAGACCACGATATTTCTATAGAAATCCGTCGGCTACCGAATCACCATACGCGTACAAAGTTCCACTGTTCCTGTCGCCAAGACCGAGTGGTTCCTTCCACCAAGAAGTCTACCAGCTAGACGGGGAATCGACGTCAAAGCAGGATGTAAAATAAATCCATGGTGCCGCGGCCGTCGCCGACAGAAAAGACTCCTACTGTCTTCTTGCTCGAAGTCTTTGTTTTGTCCACGATGCGCCAATGTTCTTGCGGACTTCTTCTGGCGTGCTTCGCCTGAGCTCCTGGCTTCGCAATGATCGTCTGCATATCCGCTTTCCCCTCCAATGGATTGCCTTGATCCTCGCTGTGATTGGGGGCCTCATTGTATTCTATGTGTTTGCCGTCCCTCAACTTCTCAGATTCCGGTTCCGTGCCGACTTAAGCTGGTATGATCTAGGAGCTCAAGGGTTTGGTCCAGACCGAAGTTTCATCTCCTTCCATCAAGAATCCCCCATTGTTGAAGTCACCCCGCCTGATGCAAAATGCGATGACCGGTACACATTCCTTGCGCCTCGGGGCGATTCAATTGCCCATCCCGGTCCGATGATCCTAAATCCCGCTGGGGAGCTTGTGTGGACAAAATGGAACGGGGGGACGACACAAGACTTCAAAATGCAGCGATACAAGGGTGAAGACTACCTCACTTATTGGCAAGGAGACACAGCTGACGGTTATGGACGAGGGTCATGGTACATGGTAAGGTTATATATTGAGCTAGCTTACCATGATTATGGTTCACTAATTACCTTGCCCGATCACAGCTCGATTCAACCTATACACAGAAGTACGTTGTGTCTCCAATCGGCATATATGATGGCGATCTCCATGACTTCCAAATCACTCCCAATGATACCGCAATTTTGCTAATTTACGACCCTATCCCGATGGATTTGAGCTCTATCGGCGGACCAGAGCTGGGATGGATGTATGATGGAATGTTCCAGGAAATCAATTTCGAAACCGGAGAACTGCTATTCCAATGGCGCGTATCCAATTTTTACGACCCAGGTGATAGTTATTATCCGATTGGAGATGCCGGTCAGGGACGCACCTCCGGGTATGACCACTCGCATATCAACAGTGTGGACAAGGATGATCAGGGCCGGTACCTGGTTTCAATGCGCCACCTCCATACTGTTGCATGTATAGATGGCACCACTGGTGATGTCCTCTGGTCACTGGGAGGGAAACGGAACACCTTTGCCGATGCTTCGGATGGAGCTGCCACCGAGTTCTCATGGCAGCATGACGCTCGCTGGCAAGGACCCAACCGCCTCAGCTTATTCGACAATGCAGCCTACAATAACGAGAACCTCTCCGCGGTGAGCCGTGGGATGATCGTTGATCTGGATACGGAAGAACAGCAAGCAACATTACTGCAATCCTTCCACCATCCGCACGACATAATGGCCGTTTCGCAAGGGAACGTGCAAGTACTCGGCACAGGGAACGTTCTCGTGGGCTGGGGTCACTCTGCAGCCTTCACCGAGTTCTCCCCAGAGGGCGATGTTGTATGCGACGTGCACTTTGGAGCCTCTGCTTTCTTCACATTTGGTCGTGTCGTCTCCTACCGAGTGTTCAAATTTGACTGGGTTGGTAATCCTCTGACAATCCCCGACACTGCCGTGACACCAGAGAGTGTCTTTGTTAGTTGGAACGGTGCCACCGAGGTAGCGGAATGGCGAGTTGAGGCATGGGACGGTGAAGACCTCAGAAACATGACCTTCACGGCTGTGGACCAGGTCCCTCGCGAAGGGTTTGAAACTGAAATCCCACTCACCTCCAATATTGATTCATTATTCCGCCTGCGTGCAATCAAGTCCAACGGAGAGAGTCTCGGTGTAACGCAACTACTCCAACGACTACCAGCATCATCGTCGGAAGGCTCTTTCATGCCAACCCATGGGCCTTGGCGGCCATTGTGCTTGTGGTGCTTGGTTGCCTTATTTGCGGCGTGCGTTTTGCTATTCACCGTCGACTTCGCCAAGGACTCGGCTCTAGTGGCCTCTATCAATTAGTGTCGCACAAGGATGAAAACGAGGGCCATGATCGGCATGATTGCCTACTAGTATAGGACGCCGGCGTCCTAGGCGTATAATTCTATTTGCTTGTATATAACTTGGTCTGCACATATTTAGAAATTAATTCCTATACATTTCATGAACTCAATGAGATGAATTTGTAATCGGTATTAATCACGGCCGACAACTTGCGCGGCTTAGCAAACTGGGCCAGATATGCAAAAGTCTGGTTTCAACTTTTTTTGATACTCGTTTGGCTCTCAGGCGTGAAAGAAGCACCTTTCATGACAGTGAGAAGACAGTGCCAGGGGTGGGGTCGGAGGATAATATTGCGAGATACGAATCCCTGCACATTATTGCTGATAATGGACCTCGGTGAATTATATACACAGTGCAATAGAGGGGAAAAGTAAACATATTTTATCTTAGTCTCAATCAAGTATTTCTTAGACGAATTTGAAAAGATCTTTCTGGCTGACATCCCATGGAATAAAACCATGCATGTGTATAAGGTCAAGATGGAAAACCACTAGGAGGATTCAAGTAATTACTTGTATGATGGGAAGCTGTGGGATATCATCAACCTCGTTCTCGGTCGATCGACAGATAGTGGTCACTGAACAGGATCGTTGGGCAACTTGATAGGAACATCTCACTTCGTTTCAATCTCTCACTTCGTTTCAATCAGACAGCGATGCCCCTTTGGTGCCATCAAGAAGAAGGATTGCATTTCCATGTCCTTTGCGCTCATCCCCTCTTTGTCGGATCGTTGAGCATTTGGGAATTCTCGGAAAAACAGGACTGATCCTAAGCGAAGCTCCATACGGGCCAGGTGCATTCCGATACAGACTACACGTATATGGTGTAAGCCGATGTGATTCCCAAGGTAATCCAGGTTATTTTTGACCTACTGCGTGATCCACCACCAAATGGAATGGAGATATCCTTCATTTCCTTGGTCGGGTTCTCCCATCTCTCGGGGTTGAACCTGCATTCTGTTAATGTGCCTCTTTTGTGTGGGGAATGCTTCTTACGTGTATGGGTCGGGGAAGATTGTAGGATCCCTATGTAGACTATAAGACTGCGTCGACACCGTCGCTCCACTCGGAAGGAAGTATCCATTGAAACTAGCCCCTTCCGAAGGCACAGAACGAGGAAGACCAAAAGGAACAGCCGTGTGAATCCGAAGGGCCTCACTGGTGACCATGTTTAGATACGGCAGATTCCGAATATCATTGTCATGAATCGGCTCAGATAATGCTGACACCTCGGCGACCAGCTTGTCTCGAATTCGTCTGTTTCCACAGACAGCGTAGGTAAGGTAGGTCAAAGTAACAGCAGTGGTATCACTTCCTGCAACTATGTACCCCTGAGCCTCTTTCTGGATTTCGTCATCAGTAAGGCCGCCTTTCTCGGTGTCGAATAGCTTGGTAAACAGTGTCTTCTTCGGGTTGGAGGGATTTTCCGTGAGTATTTTCTTGTATCGCTCGATGGACTGTGTTGCATATATGCGCATTCGCTTCCCAATTGCTACAGTGCGCTTAAGAACTGGCAAAGGCAGATATTTGCCGAAGAGAACCAGGTTGGGGAATGTTGTTCGAATCGGTTGGAATGCTGAAACTCCTTCCAGATCTAAAGTGTATTGAGATTTCTGTTTTGGTATTAGAACTGATTTTGAAGTTTGGCACTTTTGAATACACGTATTACTTGCCTCGCCAGCTTCTAGCATCCGGAAAGATTCTCCAAAGCTAAGTTCGCCAATAATGTCGGTGGCCATGAACAGCCACCACTTGAATATGTCGGTGGCACCACTGGTCTGTGTCTCTTCTGCCATTTTGCCGATCGTCATTTTTACCCGACCTGTAATTAACTCTTCATGCTGATGCAGTGAGGTGTCGGAGATTGGTGATGCTAGTAGACGGCGGCGGGCAGAATGGAAATACGGATCGGTAGTCGAGAAGACGGTTTCTATGTTGTTTGGTACGAGCGTGCGATACCAAGGGGACTTGAGGAAGCGTGAGTTAGTCTTATGTATTTCTTTCACAGCATCGACACTGCAGATATCGACTCTGTTAGGGCCAGTTCGAACGATTGGACCTTGATATTTCACATGTCAATACTCGATATTCCCAACCTTAGAAAGGATTAAAGGCCGTTGTAAGTTATTACCATAGATCTCATGCAGCTTATGAACATAGTTTGGGGCCTTCCCGGCGAACCAATAATGTATGTAAACAAGATCGGTCCATTTAGAGATAGCCGGACCTGGGATCCGCGCGAGTGGACTGGACAGACGGTTATAGACGAAGTGCTACACCTAAGTCAGCCTGAATAGCCCGAAAATTCTCCGGTAAGGAGAAATCATACAAGACACAGTACTCCAAGAATGGAGGCTAAAATTGCGGGAAGATGGCTGACAGACTCCATAGTTGTGATTTGTTGAATATTCCACATGAGTCTGTCTCTTCACATTGCCAGATTAACATGGTATTTATATTCAGCAATACAATCACTGGACTTGGCCTACCTTGTTAAACCCACAGTCAAATCAGCCCGGTGCTTTTGTTGTCCGAGGGCCGACAAATATCGCAGCGCGGACGGGCATTCGGGGCTTGTTCCAAGAATCACCGAGGAAGGTGATCGGCATTGGAGATGAGCGCCTACATACTACTACTTCTCCGATATTGTGCAGCTGCAGGATAAATTGATGCTTTTAGAATGATTGCATTGACGCCGACCTGTGCGGGCACCAATGTCGTATAAAGAATTGAGGGATTTTCGTTGGCGGACCCTGTCATACATTCTAGATTAGGGGGCACTCTAGAAGGTGTTTCCCACATCGATGTCCTTATTTTGGTATGTCAATCGTATTGCCAGGTCCAGCATTGGCCACTTAGTAGCCGTCCTCAAGCGAAAATCGGCCTTGTAGGGAGTGGGACAATAAAGTACATACGTAGGGTGTTTATACCCGTTAAATTCCATGGTCAGACAGAATCCGTCAAAAGCCGTCAAAAGCCGACCAGCCTTCTGCATAAGCGTTGTATATGATCTCCTTTTGAGATGTAAGGAAATGAGGGAGCGTTTCGATTAGGCACCATGCATTCGAATGATAATGTGAGGGGTTAGGAGGGAATGTTAAATAACCTCAAGCTTTTCGTCATTTAATAATTCGGGAAAGGTTTATTTTGCAATACACCCCATAAGCACAGCATAGATCTAATTCTCGATTATTTGAAATGTTCTCTAAACTACGCTTCGGATCTCGGGCTTCGTCTAATGCCGAGAGAGATCCTAGACAAACCATTTATAGCAATCGGCCCACATTACGGCAGCAGGTTCCAGTCTGTTTTGAGAAACTTAATGGGCGAAGTACCCCCACTGCTGTGGGTGACTTGGTTTATGGCCTCGCCTAAGGTTCATTTGGCAATTACACTGGGGTGCCTATCGCGCTCGCGCAAAAGGCGCTGGTGAGTTTGGCCATTCGATAGACATCGGTCACCTTAACATCAACAACGCTTAATCATCGGCCTCGGACTTTCCAGGAGAGTGCCAGCTTCTCATCCTTCGATCTAGCCCTTGTGGACGAGCATGATGCAAAACTAGGCTTGCAGCTTATGCAAACTGTGGATGTTGGCTACCGTGCTAGTTAGATTAGCCCCATCCGCCCGGTCACTGTGTCGAGAATCCCTCAGCTACACCATACGCTTGTCAGCTTCTTCAAGGGAACGCATATCAGCAAGCTGGTAGTGAGTTTTCAGAAACGCCACGCACTCATGCGGTGGTACCGGCAGCACCGACAGTCGCCTTTCATTGGTGGGCTCTGTGGGTTTGGGACGGTCTCTCGTACAGTATATGTGCGGCCGAGGTGCTCGAGAGATATTAGTATAATCCCATCATGGTGTTAGGGCACCAGAGGCTCAGGCGCTCGTTGGGGTATTGGCTAAGCGCCGGGTATACCTCTTCCCACAAGCCTGTGAGCTCTGTAGCCATCAGCAGGCCCTGCACGCCACTGGGCAAGAATCCGCCATTAGGCCAATGGAAAGTATTGTCCATCGTGCCGTATGAAATCAAGACATCTCATTCGACAAAATATCGCTGGAGGGCGGGCGCGATGGATTAGTCGCCAAAGTCCACGGTATATGGGATCTGCACCAAGCCACCAAGATTTCACTGGACTTATTCGTGACAGCTACCTCCACCCAATTAGGCCTCAGCCTTGCGGTACACCGCGGGGATGGGCCTTCTAAGTGCCGTAGTGCCGCTGGTATAGTAATACGCGTATGTCGCATCATTCATGCGTTCAAGGACGCATTGCGACACGATAAGGACAAAGATAACTAGGAGTAAACAATGATTCAGAAGGGCAGTAATCGGACCCAACGCGAATTCGTCACGACGTTGACACGGCTGCGCAGAAAGTGCGCACTGCTTTTGGCCCCGAGCAATTTGGGTGTCGGGTGAGTACTCTGCGGCTTTTTTTCAGCGGTCATCTATGACACAGTAACAATGATGCTTCTGATGGACTTGACGGCGGTCAATGCAACTCGCGCTGTGTCACAGTTAGACCCGCTGTTGCGCTTGGCGACAGCCATTGACCCCCACGGCGAGCCGGCTCTGTGATGAATGCGGTCAAGACATTGAGATGAACAGTATGTAGAAAGGAAAGGGAAATGAAGGGAATGAAAGGAATGAAAACATTAAAATAAACAAACATGACTGTGAAATATATAGGGTACTAAATATTTTCTTGATAGAATTCACAAGGAACGCCGAAAGAAAGTTCGACAAGCCCATTTCGTATATGCAGATACATGAACACATGTCATGTAGACAGAAGAACATCATCAAATGCATCACAATCATCCAAGAGGTGTATTTTCGGGATAAAAAGGTCCAGCCGTGACAGAATGCAAGAAAGAGGGATTGCCATGATAGAGTTTTGCGTGTAGATATTCCCTTAAGAATGAGCATAGGTCAAGTGTAATCAAAAGGGGGGAGAGTAGGTAGAATGCAAACGCATGGTATGGAATATGAGAATGGAGACAGAAAACCCGGGCAGGCAAGGATGGCCGTGTTGGGTTGTCAACGGTCAAAGATTCGTTACTTAGTGTCGAACCATCCACCGTTTTCCCATTCCCCATTAGGTGTGTATGTGGCTGCTTGTCGGGCGGACGGATCGCAGAGACCGCTCAATAGAACGTTCAAACGAGCAAAATTGATAGGTTTCATGACCCAACCATCAAATCCAGTATCGACGTAGCTTTCGTGGTCTTTTTCAACTAATGATGCAGAGACGGCAAAGATAGGCACTCGGTCATTGTGTATAGCTTTGTCAGAGAGCGCTTCCTTGGGTTTCTTAGATTCAAATTCGCGAATCGCCCGAGTGGCTGCCATTCCATCGAGGATCGGCATCTGGGAGACGTTAATGGAGGCGAAGAGGATGGAGAAAGCGTTTTCAAAATACCTGAATATCCATCAACACCACATCAAAAGAGTTGGTAGCAGAGGCAAAAGAAATTGTGCAGGCTTCACCATTGCTAGTCAACTCAACGGTGTGACCAAGTCTGCTCAACCGCTTTTGTATAATCTTGCTATTGATTGGGTCGTCCTCGGCGACAAGAACATTGAGTGGGTCGTAGTCTGTTGTTGAAGCTACAGTGATTGGCGGGGCAGAGGATGCTGGCCCAGAGGAGGGAGCTTGTGATATTTCTGCGATTGATGAAACTCGTGGGAAGTATGAGTGATCTTCCTTGGTAGCCTCGATTTGTGGTGATATGAGACTGGTGCAATGTTGTGACATTCGTAGAGCACCCATCGGGACTCCCGAGTCAGTAATATTCTCCAGGCCTTGGGAAGGGGGAGTCACAAGTGGCCGTGAGGTGAGCGGCGCGGTATGGGTGATGGTAGATAGAGTTGACGTGAGATCCTGTGTGGCCAATGATCGCTTTAGAGTAGATGGTGATGCAAGGGGAGGATGCGCATAAATGCTGCTGGCGTTGGCAGGACTCGAAGAAAGGTTCAACCGTCCCAGATCCGAATCTTGGCTAGTGCTTCTCTTGCGGGTGTGTTCTTGCATGGCACTGATCAGTCGATCGGCGTGACTTCTCCCACTGCGCTCACTATGTCCGCTGCGGAAACTGGTACCACTGCGAAGGCTTTCAGAACTTGGTCGTCTGGAATCACGAGATTCATGTGCTGCAGGAACTAGTGTAAACTCCTTGTCTGAAAGCATAGGCGTCGCAGGAACGACAAGGCTCGGAGGAGGAATTCCATCTGCATCTCCGTCCACGGTTGTCCCCTCCGGCAATCGGAAATGCACTATAATCTTGAAATGACTGCCTTTCCCTTCTTCTGATCTGACACCGAGCTGACCATGCATGTTATGGACGATCCTTGCTGCAAGAGCAAGGCCAAGACCCAATACACGTTTTTGCGGTGGGTTCCACGTGTGCTCTTCTTCTTCCTCGGGGTAGTAAGTATCATCGGTCGACACTTGTTCGAGCTCGTGAAAGAGCTTCTCCAATTTGTTGTGCGACATGCCCATCCCCGTATCAACAACCACCATCTCCACGCCAACGTGGCCTGGAATCGCCTGATTGGTAGAGCGCCACATTTCTGCCGTAACCGCGCCGGACTTGGTATGCTGAATGGCATTTGAGATTAAGTTCGAAAAGACTTGCCGCACACGACGTTGGTCGCCGAGAACTGATTCAGGAATACCAGGATGTACTGAAACAGTGTATGATATGTTCTTCCGCCTGGCATCGCCAGACAGCATGTCAGCTGCTTCTCTAAAAGTTGACTCAAGGTTGAAGGTCTCATCTTTAATGAGGTCCTGTCCTTTTTCGGTATTTGTCAAGTCAAGGAGATCGTTAATCACGTAAATGAGTGACTTGGAAGCTGAATGGGATTTGGTCAAACTCTCTCTGGTTTCATCGTCCAGAGCACCCTCAAGTGCGATCTCCAGATAGTTAACTATGGCATTCAAAGGGGTCCTAACTTCATGTGCAGAGTTTGCCAAAAGTAGTTGAGTGAGTTGCGAGGTTTGCATAGCGGCCTCCTTCTGCCTCCAAACTTTGATAAATTTACCGTAAACCACTGTTGAGGTATGTCAGCTTTGAAACAATTGAGGCAACTTATTCAGGGTGTCCCAAGAAGATAGCTTACAGCACAAGACCGCCGCCATCTCCACGTCCGTCTCCGTCCACTCTCTACTTTGCGATAGAACTGTCTCCCGCCACGCTGTGAAACTTTCGCGGGGTTCTAGATATCCCGCAGTCTGCTTTCGCTTTTCAATTTCGTAAGGATTACCGGCCCATTTAATCTCTGTGAGCTGTCCACGGCGGAAGAATGCGATAAAGTCACTACCTCTCGTGGAAAGCGGGACATATAGTAGGCCCGAGATTGCCTTCAATCCCGGGGCGTAATGCAAATCAGGGAAATCCTTGACGATATCGTGCGAGGCAAGCACTGAATCCAAATGCCGTACGCGAAGGAACTCTAGCAATGCAAGAACCTCTTGGGAGTTATTGTTATCGCCAAGTATTTTTGTTTCATCGCGAATCGATAACACGCCGTAATCTGCATCGAATAGTTGTAACAGATCATCCGAGGATGCAATAATATACCCTGATGGGTTGGCCTCGGTTGGGACGGTATTAATTAGTTTTCGGGCCTGAAGGCGAGAGGCATATGAAAGCCGCTCTATGTTTCGAGATACAGTGTCGCCGAGGAGCCGGCACATTTTGCGTATTGGGAATGACACGCGCATACCGACATTTCCGTAGCTATGGCAGGAGATCAATCCCCATAGATCATTGAAAGCGTTGACGCTTATTGACATTGAGGACCGGACTTTCATGTGTGCCAAATATTTCACGTGAATTGGGGACATCGCACGAAGATAGGCGTGAGTCATGTCCAACGGAGATTCCAGATCCTCCAAGGTCCGACAGACAAGTCGAGAAGTCACTTGGTCGCGATCGTATAGGAGCCGGACCTTGTTTATTTTATATAGTTCTCGGGCTTGCGCGGGGATATCGGATGCAGGGAAATGGAGACCCTTGTAGAGATCAATAGTGGTGTTAGGATCGACTAACTCGGCAACAACCATGCCGTTCCAGCTACTATCGAACTGATAGATCAAGACCCGGTGAAAGCCAGTCAGTTCCTTGACCAATCCCGCAGTTGTGTTGAGCAGCTGATCTAGATTATTCGTCCGCCCCAACTGCTCCTGCATCTGCGTTAAGATACTAAAAACTTCCATCGACGATGCCTCGCCCTTCCTACGGCGGGCACTCCTAAGAACGCGGAGAGGCTGGCTGATGTTGATCGTGCTCGCAGCGAGCTGATCTGGTGTTGGAACAATGCCTAGGGTGTCTGTTGGAACTGCCGGAGTGGCAAGGCCCTCAACATTCAATGGGTTCACTCTGTCATCCTCAAGCTCGAACTCGCAGATAATCAAATCCTTTTGTGTCTGAGAGACATGGGTGGCGCACCAGAATTTGCACGGCGTCCCATCAGCTGTGCGAATGGACATGTTGAAAACCTCCGGTCCGTTGACCGATGGGTCGTGTGCATCGTCACGAACAAAGTCAACGTGATCCAGCAGTGTGTCCGCCTGGTCCTCACTCAAAATATCACAGAAGTTTTGTAACTCGAACAGTTGCTTGGGCGAATAACCTAAGAAGTCCGCCGAGTTCTCGCTCACAATGCGAACCACAAGCTGATTTGGCAATTCTTCACGAAGGGCGATCATTAAGCCAAAACTTTGAATCGCCCCGGGGATGCGAATGGGCTCGTCCTCGCAGTATTGAAATGCTTCTCCGTCTCGTCCTGTGATGACAGCATGACCACTTTCCGTCATAATATGTTTGAACCGGGCAGTGACATGGGCATCATCTTCAGCATTCCTAGTTAGAGGTGCGGTGGAGCCGCTTCCGGAGTGGTTCTCGCTTGGGCCAGGTTTAGCGTAAATTTCGGGGTGTTGAACAACCTCCGATACCAAAGAATGCGTTGCAAGTTCGGTTTCGTCATCTATAGCATGTGTCTCATGGCGTGGGATGTTGGTGGGGATGGTAGGTTCGGCATGCTCGGGGTCGGGGTGGTGAAAGTGGTCGGAAGCAAGCTGCGAGTGCAATTGGTTCCACGTCCGTTCATCGATGAATGGATACTGTCGTGCCCCTTCTCGGGTTGGCGATATTGTGTTCCGGGAGTGCACTGAAGCCGAATACTGGGGGGTAACGGTGGGATCGACTGAAACAACCGACCTAATAGGGAAAACACGGTCGGCGGGGTCAAAACCAGTGCCTGGTGGCGGCTGAACCTTTGCGGTCGACTGTGAATGATCTCTGGACACTGGCTGTCCTTGCCCTGTCTCTGAGGGATATATCATTTTTGGTGACGCAACACTCTCCGACCTTTCGCGCGGGGACCATAGGCCGATGTCCTGGGGATGTGGGGACGTCATCTCCACTGTTTAGACTATCGGAATGAGCGTAGCGCGCCTGCACGGCCGCTTAGCAGTGGGCTACTAATCTCGAATGCGAATATGAGAGTGAATCGACCCCGCGACGAGATGGTTGGGCGTTCTAAG